CATTGTGAAGAATCAAAGATATCTTCAATTACGGCTGATCAAATCAAATGCCTTATTTTTGTATGCAGTNTTCGTTCTTCTGCAGATGCAGACGTTCGTACCAAGTTGTTACATTTGGTAGATACTAAGTCAGAAACTCTCACTTTGGAAGACTTAGCTGTCGAATGTCAACGTTTTGTTAATTTAAAACAAGATTCCTCTTTGGTTGGAGATCATAAAGTGAGCATGAGTACTGTAGCGCTTGTTCAATCAAAGAGCTTGCAGAAGGGTAAATTTAAAAATAAACAGAATAAGCACGGCAAATTTACTCAAGATAAATTGTCAAATAAGAAGCCGTCAACACNGTGTTGGTTTTGCGGTAATTTGCATTATTCAAAAGATTGTACTTACAAGTCTCATAGATGTCAGAAATGTAAAGCCGTCGGTCATAGGGATGGATATTGCGCGTCAAGCAAGAAAGTTAAAGCTAAGTCAAGCGAGGAAAGCTCGGAGTCCAGTGTCAAGACTATTCATTCTGTGAATCAAGTCAAATGTGTTACGAATCGCAAGCATGTTGATGTTCTCATTAACTCTTTTCCAGTTACACTTCAACTNGACACAGGGTCAGACCTTACGGTCATTTCTTTTTCAACTTGGTCTGCTCTCGGGAAGCCAACGGGGACAGTCACCTCACACATCGCTCGAGATGCGTCCAATAACTCAATTCTTTTTAATCAAGAATTTAACTGTTCTGTTACGTTCAAAGGAATCACCAAGCAACTTCGTTGTTTCGTCACTTCAAATCCGGAATTGAATGTAATGGGTTTGGATTGGTGCTCAGCTTTCAATATATGGAATCAGTCATTAAATGATTTTTGTTATTTAACCAAGAGCGAAGATTCGCAGTTTGATATAAATGTTTACCAGCATAAATTTCAAGATGTGTTCTCAAGCGGTTTAGGTCGTTGCTCNAAAACCAAGGTTAAGTTGCATTTAAAGGCCGATGCAAAGCCGATTTTCAAGCCTAAACGACCGGTTGCCTTTGCAATCTTGCCGCAAGTAGATGCTGAATTGGATCGCCTTGTACAAAACGGTATTATATCTCCTATCAAGTACTCTGAGTGGGCTACTCCAATTGTTGTGGTTCGTAAAAAGAACGGGTTGATCAGAATTTGTGCCGATTTCTCTACAGGACTCAATGAATCCCTTGAGCCCAATCGTCATCCTTTGCCGCTGCCAGATGAAATATTTGCACAGCTTGCAAACTGTAAATATTTCACTCATTTAGATTTGTCGGATGCTTTTCTACAANTGGAAATTGATGACGACTCGANAAAGTTACTTACCATAAATACGCATCGTGGACTTTACGTTTATAATCGAATGCCTTTCGGAGTTAGAGTGGCTCCTGGCGAGTTCCAAGCAATCATGGACTCGCTAATTTCTGGTTTGTCAAATACTTTTGCCTACATTGACGACCTGGTGGTAGGTGGAGAGACAGTTCTGGAACATAATCAAAACTTAACTCGTCTCTTGGAGCGAATACAAGAGTACGGTTTGCGTTTACGTTTAGAAAAATGTAATTTCTTCACGGATAAAATCATTTATCTTGGTTACATCATAGATGGACAAGGTTTGCATCCTGATCCCAAAAAGATTTCTGCAATTATTGACATGCCTCCACCGCGAAACTTGACTGCGTTACGATCATTTTTGGGCGCTATTAATTATTATTCGCGTTTCATTCCAAACATGCACATATTGCGTCGACCTTTGGATCATTTGCTTAAGAAGGACATACCGTGGGAGTGGTCTCTTCGGTGTCAGAAGTCTTTTGAGCAGTTCAAAAAGATTTTAACATCTAAACTTTTGCTCACACATTATAATCCTAAGCATGAGATTATTGTGGCAGCAGATGCCTCTAACGAAGGAGTGGGAGCTTGCATCCTTCACCGTTTTTCGGATTTTTCAGTCAAGGCAGTTTGTCATGCTGCCAGGAGTCTTACTTCTGCTGAACAAAAGTATAGTCAAATTGAGAAAGAAGCATTGGCTATTATATTTGCTGTGACCAAGTTTCATAGGATGATTTATGGAAGACGTTTTACTCTTCAAACAGACCATAAGCCTCTTTTGCAAATCTTCGGAAGCAAGAAGGGCATATCGGTGCACTCAGCAAATCGTTTGCAGCGTTGGGCGTTGCATCTTATGTCCTACGATTTCAGGATTGAGTACATCAAAACTAGTGAATTTGGTCATGCTGATGTACTCTCAAGACTTATTGATCAGCAAGTTCGGCCTGAAGAGGATTTTGTTATCGCTTCGGTACAACTGGAGGATGATTTATCTTCTTCTTT